ATATTTACGTTGAACTTTATTCTTGAACAGATGGCGATGTATTAAGCAGTATATAATCAGTATATATCTGTTGCTCATGAAAACGTTTCTGAAACGTCTGTATATTTGACAAATATTGCATTTAATTCACTTCATCTGTAATAGAGTATGCTAACACCGCGCGAGCGTCACTAACGGGAGCAGAAAGTGTCCGGCTTGATGGCTCCGTTTTCAACTCCGCCCCTGACGGAGTTGAAAACTGCTCTCGTTGGGCTACCGTCTGTAGCCGTCCTTCAAGTCGAATGCACCTATTCTTTATAAAAATCAGGTGTGTTTGATTAAGGAGACATGCAAAGCGTGCAGTGTTGGGGTGCCTCGAGGACCAGGGTTGGGAACCACTGCTCTAGGCCGCCGCTCACTCAAGGTAAACACATTTCATTACACCAAAAACACAAAATAATGTTCTTTTTAGCAGCATCATATGACCCCTTTAACATCATTTACTTTAATTATTTTATTTATATTTTATTAAAATACTTTTATTCAGCAAGGACAGATTAAATTGATAAGAAATTGACAGTAAAGACATATATTACAGAAGATTTCTATGCGCATCTCGTCAGTAAAGCCGGTCCCGTGATTAGTAGTAAATCTCCATCACCTGCTTTCAGATTGAGCGGCATTTACTACACAGAGCCGTAGTTCACTGACAATTAGACAATATCACGTTCATAATCGAAGATGAATCGCATTCGATTATGAACGCGATATCGCCTAGCTTGTCAGTGAACTACGGCTCTGTGTATTAAATACCTCTCCATCTGAAAGCAGGTGATGGCGATTTACTACTAATAATGGGACCAGCTTTACTGACGAGATGCGCATGACAATCGCATGCGATTAATTGCACAGCCCTAGTTCTTTTTAACTTCCTATTCATCAAAGAAAATCATGCTTTCTACAAAAATATTAAGCAGCAATAATAAGAAACACTGATAATAATAAGAACCATTATAAATATTTGTAGCACTGATAATAATTGAGCAGCAAATCAGCATATTAGAATGATTCTAAAGGATCATGTGACCAAAAAAAAAATCATAAGTATGCCAACCTTTTGACCAGTAGTTTAAATGACATAGAAGGACTTATGTTAATACTTTCTATCTGTGTCTTCGCAGAACCCAAGAATGATCTTTTCCTGTTCTATGGAAAGGGACGACCTGGGACAATCCGTGGTTTGGACATGAATGTGAAGTCTATCAATGAGCACATGGTTCCTATTGAGGACTTGGTGAATCCAAGAGCTCTTGACTATCATGCTGAAACCGGAAACATTTACTTTGCTGATACTACAAGTTTTTTGATAGGGTGTCAGAAAGTCGATGGAAGCAGTCGGAAAACAATTCTCAAAGATGGTAATTACTGAACATTTTGAATTCTTCTTCATATTATTGGTATTTTCAGTTTGTGAAATTGCTTCATTTTCTTACACAAAGACTCTGTTTATACCTGAAATTGCTTGAATTAAAATCATATAAAAGGTACAAAGGTTGTTGTTGTTTTTTTGATAACAGCTTTTCAGCAGCCGAATTATGTGTGCTCTTACAGATCTTGATAATGTGGAGGGGATTTCAGTAGATTGGATTGGAAATAATCTCTACTGGACCAACGATGGCTACAGAAAAACCATCAGCGTGGCTAGGCTGGAGCGGGCATCTGAAACCAGGAAGACTCTTTTAGAGGGAGACATGTCTCACCCTAGAGCCATAGTGGTGGATCCTTTGAATAGGTACAGTAGAAAGAACAGCTGATCATCACAATCCTAGATTATGTATTATACAATGATTTGAAATGCTTATCAACATTCATAGATGCATGGTTTGGATAGAACTATTTGTTACTTTTGTTTACTTTTTTATATTTTATTATTATTTAACTACCATGGATGCACTAATATTTAAATTGATAACCAATAAATGGACCATATTATAAAATCTACACTACCTTTCAAAGGTTAGGGGTCTGTACATTTTTTTTTTTTGAAAGGAAATAATTTTTAATTATTGAAACCGCATGTTTCCTACCATCACAAATGTTACCAATCCCACCAATTTGTGGGGCGGGCTTTTCAAATCTGGTTAAAGGTTTCTATTTCATGTGTTTTTGCAGCATTGAGTAATGTAGCCAATCACAGACATATGTGTTGGTTTCGTGAATGCAGTGGCCATTCAGAGGTTTAAGTTAGTCAGAATCCACTCACCACTCAAAAGTGCTGAGGTCTACACATGCACAGATCCTCTAAAAAAAAAGTGTAGATACAATGTAAATAAGAGATTATTTGTGCAGTGTAGAGCTTCATTGATTATAACATAACTTTGTGAGATCACGATGAACTAACATGTGTGACAGCCTTTTAGTGATTGTAAGGAGAGTGTTATTTGCACGCTTTCTAGGCTATAATCAGTTCTAAATTTGAATAAATTCGCTTAAGAATTCATTCTTGAAACTGCGATGAATGACATACCAAGAACCATTAATCCAAGATTGTCACTTGCCATTGTGTAGCATTTACTATTTGAGTTAACTGAGTGAAATTGAAGCAGGTCCAAGCTGGTGTGTTTGAGTGGAGGCATATTCATGATTTCACGCATACTCAATGAGGTAAGGGTGTAGAGTTATATTCAAGAGTTATATTCCATTTCAAGATGTGAATTAATTATTTGCATGGGGGAAAAAAAAAACATTTAAATATGTCATTTTGATGAACAAAGATGAGTTTTAAGGGATAAAATTAGTGATTGCAGGGGGACTTTAACCAATATGGTGCCAGAATATCAGGCCTCCCTAGGTGTGTTCTATGTTTTGTGGATATGGCCATATACCTTATATTAACTGAAAAAATCGGTTACACTTTATTTCAATAGTCCACTTGAGACATTCTAACTTTGCAACTACATGTCAGCTGACTCTCATTAGAGAATTAGTAGACTGTTACTTGCAAAGTTACTTATAGTCAGCAGAATGTCTGTTGGGGGACCAACAAAATAGTGTTAGCAGATGTTAAGTCTACTAATACTCTAATGACTGATTGTTGACATGTAGTTGCAAAGTTAGTAGACTGTCGAAAGTGAACGATCAAAATAAAGTGTTACCGAAAATTTGGTTAAAATATGCTTGGAAAAACATAAGTAATCCTCCTTTACATCAACATTTGCAATCTGCGATGAAATGCTGAGCTCTACTCACTTTCCTCCTGGCCTGAAGGAACAGTCTTCATTCTAGTTTATTTACTAACATTTGTTTACACTGCATGGCTTCAGAGGCGATTGCAATTGTACATAGAGTAGTGAAGCATGTATGCGCCTATCCACGCATATCTCTGTCTGTACTGGTTAATGTGTGTGTGTGTGTGTGTGTGTGTGTACCAGTAAGCTGGCATGGCATGGCCAGTAAAAATGGTGAGTTTGATGGCCCAGAGCCAATCTCATTATCGCCCTCCCTGGGTGTGAGAGTAACTCGTGAATCCTGAGGAGGTGCAGCCAGCCAAGGCTGAAGAAGTGAGATACTGCAATGAGGAAACAACCACTCTCGGCCCTCTCAGATCCAATCAGACAACCTGCTCACTCTCTTTTTATCTGATTAAAAAGTACTCAAGTACCTAAATACTGATTGGTCGATGGTCTTCAGATCTTTTGGGGCATTCCACGTGGTATCTTAAGGGTGCTTTGAGTACTTTTTAATTAATTTATTTTTAAATCTCTGTAAATAAATGGCTTATTTAAAAGTGTGCACTTATCATTAAGTAATTAATATAAGTTGGAATAGATTTTTACCATCTTTAATGAACACAAGTGGTGTTGATTACCAAATCATTTGAAGAGAGGGAAAGCAAATGCAGAATAGTTTCATTATTACAGACACAATGGGTTCATTAACTCAGAGCCATAATTATATTCATTGCTCAGACCTTACGCTTGTACAATTTATGCGACTCTCTCTCTCGCATTTACTAAAGCTAATGTATCTTGAATGGAAGTGCTAACAATAAAATAACCAATGGGCAATGACAGGAAGCTAGAAACTGTCTTTTTTGTGAGTTTGTCAACAGATACTTGCAAATAGTGCACATTTGCGTGAGTAAAATGCAAAAACGCCAACTTATCTCCCAGTCACCACCACATGTCATTCCCGATGGGATAACTTCAGTGGTGTGGAAGCGATTAAAATCTGCATTAAAAGCATTGTCTGCTGAACTGCCAGCTCAGAGGATGTCATGCAGACTGCTTGACACTATTCTTCGGGAGTGGAAAGCTAAAGCTTTCTGGAGCTAGTGCTCAGACAGGAAATGAGAAGCACACCTCTTCTGAGGTGCCATTGATGTGTCCTGTTTTGACAGCCGTTAAAAAAAAGTCTCAGAGGAAAAGGATGAAGGTGGAAGATGGAAATTTGGAGCGGATGTACATTTTTGACCTCTCTAACAGGGCATCAGAGTATAGACTGCATGCACTTTGAACGACGGCCAAAATAGAGTGATTCATGTACAGTGCTTCAAAGCAAAGCTAGCTTTTTGTGGCTGTAAGAGTGAGAAACATCAGATTTATGATAAGTTAAGAGACAACTTATCAAATTGTAACGTTTTAACAATTTAATAATTATTAGAATATTATGCAATATTATTAGAATAACTTAACAATCTTTAATTATTAAAAAAATTATGAAATTATTATAATTTTGTCAGCCTTGTGTTTTGTTCCCCGCATCCTGGTCCCCCCCCTATTTGGTCCTTCTTGTTCCTGTCCTTATTATGATAATTTGTTCCAGGTGTTCCCCGTTTAGTTCTATTGATCGCAGGTGTGTCCCATTAGTTTCCATGATTTAAGCCCTGTGTGTTTCCATGTCTAGCGTGCTGTCTTGAACGTCGATCCCGTGTCCTACGTGTGATTCCTTGATGTCAATAAAGACTTTTGATCTTGATTCTCCTGCATTCTCCTCGTTCCTCGCTCCTAGTTCCTCACTCCTCACAGTAGGCACACCGTGACAGAAGACCGCACCGATAACAGTAATCGGCGCCCCTTCTCCCCATTTTGTTTTAGTTTTTTGAAAAGTCTTTTGTTTTCTTGTTGTTTCTCCCCGCGGCATGGAAACCGCCACACGTTTCATTGCTTTAGCCCGTAAGGATCTCCCCTTCGTCGAGTATGCCTGGGAGTGTCAGCTCCAGTGTTGGCTCCAGCCCCAGAGCTCGCTCCAGTGTCGGCTCCAGCCCCAGAGCTCGCTCCAGTATCGGGCTCCAGCCCCAGAGCTCGCTCCAGTGTCGGGCTCCAGCCCCAGAGCTCGCTCCAGTGTCGGCTCCAGCCCCAGAGCTCGCTCCAGTGTCGAATCCAGCCCCAGAGCTCGCTCCAGTCCCCGAGTTTAGCCCTGAGAGGGCTCCAGTCCCCGAGTTTAGCCCAGAGAGGGCTCCATCTGTGGAGGCCGGGCCGAGGCCAGGCTCCCCGAGCTCCCTGTTCCGCCATGGCCTCCTGAACTGTCTGCTCTGCCATGGCTCCCTGAGCTCCATGTTCTGCCATGGCATCCTGAACTGTCTGCTCCGCCATGGCCTCCTAGTCTGCCCGCTCCGCCATAGCTTCCTAGTCTGCCTGCTCCGCCATGGGTCCCGGCACGGGTACCGCTCTCTCCTTGAGTTTTGGAGTCTCGCTTGTGATGTTACGGCATGGGAGCGCTTTGTCGCGCGGCCACCAAGACGAAAAGCCACAGTTATAGAGAGTAAGCAGTGAGAAGCACTTGAATCTGTGTTGCAGTGGGGTTTTGACCTGCGGCACAAGTCTGTTCCACGGCGCAATCTTCCAATCGACTTCTTGCAAGGCGGAGCGTGCATACATTAACTGTCAGTCTTGCTTGGTTCCCCACGTGCTCCATGTCCAGGTTTTCCCCCCCGTGTTCCTCCTATGCCCTTATTTGGTCCTTCCCGTTCCTGTCCTTATTATGATCATTTGTTCCAGGTGTTCCCCATTTAGTTCTATTGATCCCAGGTGTGTCTCATTAGCTTCCATGATTTAAGCCCTGTGTGTTTCCATGTCTAGCGTGCTCTCTTGAACGTCGATCCCGTGTCATACGTGTGATTCCTTGATGTCAATAAAGACTGTTGATCTTGGTTCACCTCGTTCCTCGCTCCTCACAGTAGGCACATGGTGACAAATTTAATTTGACCAGTCTAATCTTCAGTGTAAAATTAAAATCGTATAGTGTAGTGTCAACCATACCTAAACAAAATGTCTTGATTAAATATTATATTATGACTGAATGGAATCAAAATACAAATTATAATTTTTTTAATCAATTTAGCCTTAATTTAAAAAATCTCAAGTACATTTTTCACTCAAATAAATGCAGCCATGGTGAGCATGGGATTTCTTTCAAAAACATGAAAAAATATTGACTTAATATTGACTCCTAACTTTTCAATTGCAGAGTGAGAGCTTATCAAATTTGATATTTTAACAATATAATAATTACTCTATTCTAAAATAAAATATTAGAATATAATTATTAAACAAATAATAAAAATATGGTTAAATTATTTATATTAATATGTATTCTTCTATAAATATAAAAATTGGTTTAGTGTTTTTGGTTTAGATATTTGTTGATCCAAATGCGGTGTTAAATGTGTCCTAAATATTAACAATCCAGTGAAAATATCTTACTTAAATATCTTAATTGACCCTTCGCTGTGAATTTGATTGACAGGTGATCTGACAAATCATAACGCCCAGTCTGGCATGTTGTTCAACAAACAAACCAGACAGGCGAGTAGATTAACGTCGGTGGAGTTGAATTTGAAAAATGGTGTGTATTGACATCTTTCCACGGTTGAAACAAGATACCTTCTGATGTTCAGTCATGTTTATTTTATGCTTTAACTAGTAAAGAGGAAGAGATGATCAATTCACATGCCGCTTGAACTGAGACGCTACAGCGATCTGTCACGACACATTAAAAAGCCACAAAATGGTATTTATTGTTTGAATTTCTTTAAAAAATTACCAAATTTGAAAGCTGACTTTGTTTCATACCAAAGTAACCTGCTCTGTCTTGTCTTTTGTCAGTGTCCTCTTTGCTCTGCAATGTATTTTTCACTGCGTGAAAGTGCCATGACTTGTCGGACATCGCAACAGTAACTAAGGGGGCAAAGTCTTTGCAAAGGGTCAATTATGACTGAATTGCATCAAAATACCTTACCAATTTAACCTTTATTTTTATGATCTCTAGTACAATTTTGGCTGTTGTTTTGACCCACCTCTGTGGGCTTATTTATAGAAATGGGGTTAGGCCCTGTAATTAGGAGTTGGCCATCTATCATTTAGGCAGGTGGCATGTTGATCTTTGTCTGGTCTGCTATATGGGCTTCCCTCCCTGAAATAACACCCACCTGTCCTGATTTATTTATCTCTTCCCCCCCATACAGTATGCATCTCTCTGTTGATGCCACAAGCAGCCTGTGATAACATGATAAGAATGAACTTGCCTGACTCAGTAACTCTTTTCTCTCTTTTAGTATCCTGCATTCTGTCATTTGGACTTTCACAATTTACATCTCTGTCTCTCCATTTGTTTGATTTTTTTTTAATCTCTACTCTGTGCTCACTTCATTGCTGTCCTATCTTCATTCCCAGGAGCAGATTTTCTAAACTGTGGGATTTTCTGCTGGTCAAAACTGATTTTGTATACTCCTACCAGTTCATAGAGCATAAACTCCACAGTGTAATGAAGTCATTGTTGTTCTAGCTTGATGCTCCAGTTTAGGGGATTTATGAAATCTTCAGTGTCTATCTCTCACTCATATCCTCATCTATATTTACTCCTTATTTTTGTCTGTCTTCCTCTCACTTTCTGGCCATTAGCTACTCCACAAACATTCAAAACTTTGGGTTCAGTATTTTTATTTTTTTTTAAGAAAGGGCGTTAATTGATCAAAAGTGACAGTATATTACATACTAATATAGCATACTAATATAATAGTTATTTTAAATTGTAATAATATTTCACAATATTGTTGTTTACTGGATTTTTTATCAAATAATGACGACATGTTGAGCATTCTTGTTGAGCATTCTTTCAAAAACATCATAACATAACATCAGAAACATAAAAAAATAAATAAAAAAAACACCATTGGAACAGTACTGTATATGCAACTTTTTTAAGCATTCGATGCACACATTTTGTGTTTTTTTTATATGAGAAATATTGGAATATTATTGGATTAAATTGTTTTTGGTTACACTTTAGAATAGGGAACACTTATTCACTATTAACTACGACTTTTCCCTCAATAAAATCCTAATTTGCTGCTTATTAATAGTTAGTAAGGTAGTTGTTAAGTTTAGGTATTGGATAGGATTAGGGATGTAGAATAACGTCATGTAGAATAATTAATATGTGCTTAATTAGTACTAATAAATGGCTAATATTCTAGTAATATGCATGCTAATAAGCAACTAGTTAAGATACCCTAAAATAAAGTGTTACCCTATTTTTCTGCTGGCTTAAATCCAAATTATTTTAAGAAAAGCCTCATTGGACAAGTTTACATTAATTTATGAAAAATTGTCAGCAACTACTTCAGGCTACATATATATATATATATATATATATAAGCAAGACTTCATTTTTTACGAGCCTCAGACCCTGTTTTGTGCTGTACTCATGGAAAATGACATGTAATCTTTGCTCATTTTGGTTGGACCCTGCATGCTGTCACAGTCTGAAATGTGCAGACTTGGATCATGCTGTTTGCCTTCTGAATAATTCAGGTGGTCATGTAGCCAACACACCGGGACAGAGAACGCTTGATTCGCCCTCTGTCCAATTCTGTTTTATGTGGTGTACTTGAAGCACGGCTTCTATCATTGATGAGACAGAAAAGCTTGCGTTGACCGCTGAGTAGTACTCAGAGGCAACAAATCCCTTAAGCACACTTACTAGGGAAAAGATCATGTCAGAACATTGACCTAATCACTTTTCAAATATCACTAACCCATCACAGTTCATGTTGGCATCTATACGCCTAACATAGAAAGTGAAATGTAAAAAAATACATATATGTACACATAAACAGATTAATTTCCAGATTCCCCTATGTGCGAGTTGCTGACTTTGCTTAAGCATATTTTGTTTGTTATGTTCAGTTAAGCTTGTACATTTTTAGACCTGCAGGCAATTTATTTCAATTTGCTTCAGCTGTACACTTCCTGTCTTAGCGAGTAATATGTGATTGATATTCATGCCTGCTTCAAAAGTAAATACAAGTGCTGTTTTCAAGGACTACACTGACTCTGTTCTGGTTTTGGGTACAGTTGGATATACTGGACGGATTGGGAAGAGGATGAGGTGAACGACAGCATCGGTAGAATAGAGAAAGCCTGGATGGATGGTTCCAACAGGAAAATATTTGTCACATCTAACATGCTGTGGCCCAATGGACTCACTCTGGACCATGGAACCAGTACCATGTACTGGTGTGATGCCTATTATGATCACATTGAGAGAATCTACCTCAATGGCACTGGCAGAATGGTGAGTGAAATTGCTCAAATGTTGCTATTTCTTAGCTTAGAAATCTTAGAAATCAAATGGGATTATTTTTAACAAATGAGAAAGAGCTTCCTAAAACCTGAAAGAGAATTAACATTTTAGCCTGGGTTCCCTCATAATTTAATTGAAAAGATGACTTCTCTTGTTCTACAACATATAAATTATCACCAGTGATACCTCAAATGTGAATTTTGTTTCTAATAAGTTGCTAATATGGCCCTCAACTCCAATGCTAATGCTGGCATATAAGGACCACAACTCGACAATTAATCAAGCATGTACACTCACACTCACATAAACGCACATTTTTAATCGGGCAGTGATTTCAAAAATGAAATTTGAGGTCTGACTGTGCCTAGGTTGTTGCACAGAATGGGAAAGTAACTTCAAGTAATGTTCACCACAAACTTTATTTTACTCCAGATCGAAAACCACTATTATAAAAACCCATTTGAAATTCCTGAGGGATCCCATGGCAAATTAGCTTCCTGGATAGGCCTATGGATTGACGTCATGACTAAACTGCTCTATTATTGAGACAAACGTTGACAGAATAGATCTTATAGAGCTATAAAATGTATGTTTACTGCACAGCTTGGATAATTTGGTCTTGGAAGAATAATTTAATGCAAAATGAGAGTGCATTTTGAGAGTTTGCTGGCATATATTTGAAGCATTGGAACATTGTTGACATTATTTTTTAAACTTTTCATTCCATTACTGTGTAGCAGAAAAAATGAGACGTTAAAGAGAAAAAAAGTTAATCCTTTCTCTGAGTTGTCAGAACAGTGCATGGTAATGTGTGTGTGTTTTTTTTTTTTTTTGCAATTCACTGTAGGTTGTGTACAGTGGCAGGGAACTCAATCACCCGTTTGGGATTGCACAGTACCAAAATTCCATCTTCTGGACGGAGTACATGAATGCCTCCATCTTCCAGCTGGATCTGGTCTCTGGTGAAGTCACTCTGTTGAGGAGTGAACGGCCACCTCTGTTCGGGCTCCGAGTATATTATGCACAAAGCCAGCTGGGTAAAGTCACATTAACTTAAAACTTTAAAAGTCAATTTAAGAAAAGTTAAAGATTACAGAATGACACATTTTTTCATCTTTTTTTTATAATATTTTGATGAGTAATGGTCAGACTTAATATTTTTTCCCTTTTAATTCATACAGGTAAGTTGTAATGTAAATTGAACTGACCACAACAAAGATTAATTTAAAAAAAAATCAAATTTTAATTGTTGGCAAGAGTAGGCAACTTCTGTTTACGTTCTCCATCGTGTGACCTAACTCATGTTGCTTCCATTTTGAAAACTTGAAGAGTAAATTAGAGCATTATGGAAAATTAATTGTTCTTCTTCCATGACAAGAAAAAAAAAAGTTTCTTTCCTTGTTTTTGTAAGTGATTAATACACAGAGGTGGAAAGAGTACGAAAATATTCTACTCAAGTAAAAGTACCATTACATTAATGAAATTTTACTTAAGTACAAGTAAAAGTACCAGTCTAAAAATCTACTCCAGTAAAAGTAAAAAGTAGCTTGTTTAAAATTTACGCAGAGTAAAAATTGTTATATTTTAACAGTGGGAGGGAGGCAAAAATGGTATAGGCCAAGGGTGTCAGTTCCTGGAGGGCCACAGTCCTGCACAGTTTAGATATAACCCTAATTAAACACATCTGATCCAGCTAATCTAATCATTTAGACTTATTTGAAAACTACATGGTATGTGTGTTGGAGCAGGGTTGGAACTGAACTCTGCAGGGCTGGGGCCTTCCAGGAAGTGAGTTTGGCACCCCGGGATAGGCCTATAAATCTCAAACCAGTTGTTTTTAATTAAAGGAATCAGTTTTTAGAATAATAAGACATTTGTGCTGTTACCAGGCAAATTAAATTAGTATCAACACAATTACATACTGTTTAATGTAGGACATGAATGCATTTAACCTGCAGTTACAAATGCAGAAATAATGTTTTGATATATAAGACATAAAATGTTGAATACTCATTTGAAATTATATTTAAAAAAATAAATAAAAAGATACTTTAAATGTGAAATTAAAACCGCCAGTAGGTGTCAGCAAGTCACTGTTAATAAGTGAGTCATTGCGATTGAACCGAATCATTTAAACGGTTGATTCATTCAGGAACGAAACACCGTCATTGCTCAGAGACGCAAAACTGTGTTATATGGTGACTGTGTTTGGAATTATTTTTGTCAAAATAGAGCAAAAACAGGCAATATGTTGTCTAAAAGTCTCTTAATTAACTTCTTGTTTATTGAACTGTTGTAAAAAAAAAATCTATATGTAATCATGTTGATTTTTGGAGGAAAAAACGGCACTCTTCGCGTGATATTGATTTACTATATAAAATGATATAAATATATACATTTTCTGCCCCTATATCTTCAATTTTGTGATCATTCTAAATGCATTTTAACAGACTTTTTTCGTTTTCAGCTGGGTCTGCACCACTAACGCCTGTCTTGTCCGTCTCCATCTTTCTTGTGATTTTAGCGCCAGTTTGTTCTCCTGCCCATAATTTACTGCAGTAGTTTCCAGGGAGTAGTTTCCATTTTTTTTTTACTCAGTAATTAATGTGTTTTAAAATGTAGCGAAGTACAATACTTCAAACAAAATATACTTAAGTAAAAGTAAAATTACTAAATTAAAATTTTAAAAATTACTTTAAAAAGTAGTACACAAAAAAAGCTACTCAATTACAGTAACGAGACTAAATGTAATTCGTTACTTTCCACCTCTGTTAGTACATCAGGAATGCATTTTTTAGATAAAAATGTGACAGTAAATACTTTTACATTTTTGCAATGAAATAAATGAATAAATACATTTTTTTTCAATTAATTTCTGAATGGTGCACAACTTTTGACTTTGGTACATAATGGTTAATTTTACCAAACTGTAATATGCTTGAAATAAATGCACAAAAAAATCTGGTGGGAAAATTGTTTCACATATTACATAGAGTAGTGCATTCTTTCAGATAATTCATAATAAATGACATTTTTACAAACAGTGCAGCTATTACAATTGTTCATGGTTTTAACTTTGATCAGCATAGACCCAACTGCAGAGCAGGAGCCGTACTGTTTGAGTGGGTGGGTTTAATCTGCTCAAGTGGGGGCTTAAGCTCTGTTTAGAATGTTTAACTCTGTGTGGATGTCTGAGGCAAGGAGGGATGATTACTGTCATCTTCGCTCATAACTGCCAGTCACAACACGCAGAGGGAGGGACGCTGCTCAGCGGGGCCCTTGCACATGCAGACGAGTGGCACAGAGAACGCAGCTGTGTGTTCGGCTCCCACATGTTTCATCTCTTACTTACCTAAGGGCGGTGTGTTTTTAGAGGAGCAGACATTACGCTGCTTGTCAGAGAGACTCACTCTTTTGAGAATGACGACATAGGCATTCGGGACCAGCAGACTCGTATCATGTTTTAAATATTCTCCTCTTGACATCAAACTTACAGCATTCATAACACCAAGACTTGTGACAGGAGAAGGTGGGGAACTGCCGTTATGTCATGTATGAATTTCCTGCCTCAAAAATATGGGCTTTTTGACAGTCTACGTTCTCAGCAGAAGAGGAATTTCTTCAAAGCGCTTGTCAGGAAAAAGATTAATTGTGTTTCCGCTCCCTGGAGTACCACAGATTGGCCATTACAAAACAGTTTTTATCTCATTGGTTCAGACAATGCCTTTCAACCCCTCTCTAAATGAAACTTTATTATTGTCCCTGTGCCTCAACTTAATAAGTGACAGTTTGCTCACAAAACTGTGTTTTTCTCCTCTCGTCCCCCATCATAGGTGTCATTGCCCACACAACGAATTATGTCTTGTGAAAGAAAAAGAGTGTCAAATGGCTCTCGTCTCCAGTGTTTCCCATAATTTACTTGACGTGTGATTAAAAATAATGCCCCCGTGTACCACCAGCATCCCAGAAGAGCAGGAAATTGGTTCTGAGTGGGCAGTGAAGAAGAACTTTATGTTCTGTGCTTCAAGGAGAGACATTGCTAAAAGCCATAAAGGGATGAACACATAAACAGTCGTCCTGCCATTGGGAAAGAAGATTTGTAGATATCTATTGTTTAGGCCTATGTTTATTTTTTAGGTGACAATGCCTGCCGGGTGAATTATGGTGGTTGCAGTACCCTCTGTTTGGCCGTCCCAGGAGGCCGGGTGTGCGCATGTGGCGACAACCAGCACCTGGACAAGAACAATGTCACATGCTCTGGTAGGCTGTTTTAAATACCATTCCCTTAGAAAAATACAGGACAAAGAGTCTGTCGAGGACTAAGAGAGCCTCTTAAAAAATAAAATAAAGAAATTGGTTACCAATGTGTTCATTATAAGTAATGTAAGTTAAATTTTAAAAATGACAATATCAAATTGCCGTATTTAAATTATTTTATTTAACAAATGTTTATAAATGTAGTTAAATGTAAAAACCTCTGAATGTCAATATGTTTGTATGTAAAACTTATATGTAAAAACCTGTGCCTTTGCTGGTGGCCATTGTTCATCAAGGCCAATGTTTTTTTTTGTTTGTTTTTTATTGTTACATTTAACTTTGCTTTTAAGCATAAATTCAAACGTCTTCTTATTTATCATTTAAAAAAAATCTATTTAAAATTATTTTTTAAATCATAAATTGCTAATTTAATGCTTCATTGTATTTTTATAGCAGTCCTAGTCCTTCATAGAAGTCATCAGTCACTCAACTAACGATAAGGACAGAATCAAAAATTTGTGCTGCTTTAAATACTTTGTTTTGTCATGTTGCAATGCTATAATAAAGATGGAAGTAGCATGCTTGATTTAATTGAAGAAGTAGCATGACAATAATGGTATATAAATTCAAAAAGCAGTCTGTTACTTTATTTGTAGTTTTACCCTCAGACTCCACATCGCCCAAACACTGAGACTGACTATATTTTCCCTTAAGTTATTTTTTTTTTTTACAATTCATTTTTTCTTCTCCTGAAGACTCTGCAGGTCAAGAGGAGCCCCAGCAGTGCAAAAATGATGAGTTTCAGTGCAGAAACTGGCGCTGCATACGAGTCAATTGGATTTGTGATGGAGATGATGACTGTTTAGATGGCAGTGATGAGGAGGCCCACATATGCTGTATGTACCTTGTTTTCTTTCTCTCTGACGGTGATGTATAATCACTGTTGTGTCTGCTTTGCTGAACCATCAAACCTCTGTGGCCTCAAGCTGTGCCATTTAGCACGCACACAGTATCATATATGTCTGTGATGTATTACTCAATACAAAATGTCCATTCTGTTCAGGTATCACAGGTGTCATCCATTTTTTACTGAACTGATAACAAGATGAACACTGCAACAATATCACAAAATTGATTTTATTTTATTTTTTGTAAGGAAGTATATATTTAGTTGATCAAAAATATAGTAAAAAAAAAAACTTCAGGATTTGATGAATATATTTATTTGAAATATATGCCTTTTGTAACATTATAAATGTCTTTACTGTCAGTTTTTATCAATTTAATGCCTCCTTGCTGAATAAAAGTATTAATTAATTTATTAAAAAAAAAAAAAAAAATGAAAACCCCAAACTATATTCATACATATTAGTATGACATTTTTCAAGACAATTTTTTATTAAAATCCTCACGTAGAAGTCGTCAAACAAATGTGTTGATTTGTAAAGAGAACAAAGGTGAAGTGAGTGGTCAAAAACACAGTTTAACCCCTTAAGTGCCACCCCCCATTTTTGAACATAGACGTGAAAGTGCACTATCCAAACTTAAATTATTATAATTCATGAAAACTTTGGAATACAGACCTAAGGTTGGACTCCTTTTTAAGAAGACAGTCTGCAGATTACTGCAGAAGTGGAATCATTTCAAAATATTAAAGTATCAAGAAGTTATAGAAGTTTAAATTTACTGTAAAGAAAACAGTGCACTGAAAAAAAATGCACTGTACCAATTTTTTTAATTTTATATAAAGTAAATATTTTACAAAATATTTTTGAATCCAAAATTGATATAAAATTAAAGCCTTATGTCTAAATAAGTTATGTTCCAAATTTGAAGTTGATATAAAAAAATTGAGGTTCCTGTAAGATTTTATTTAGGGAGTTATACCACAAACAGCCACCGGGTGCCATCCAAACATTTTTGTTGATGCATTTTTCTGTCACGAAGGTCTAAATTTCTCTTTCAATATTACTTCTATCAAACAATTACCACCAAATATGGAATCTTGAGACTCAGACCTTTCCAAATATATGTATTTTGTCAAGATTATAAAAAACTTTTGATTCTAAAAGACCGTAATACATTTTGTAATATGACACTTGAAACGATTTTAAAGTACCATTTCCATGGTAAAGCAATGTCCGATTTAAAAATGGTTTTCACAGGATGAATTCTGAGGTTTTAAGCTTTCAAATGATATATAATTTATGATGATTACTTAAATATGTGATAGAAAAAGAGCGCCATTGGGCCCACCTGTGGTTAATGGTCATTATGCAAATTTTTTAATTCACAATGCCCCAAATGACTAGTCAGAATCAATAATTCCATAAAGCTGTATAATAAGTAAATGCATATGCTGATAAAATATAGACCGTAGCTTGAATTGCACTGGATAAAAGCATCTACATAAAGGTAAATCTGAACAAGCAGACTGTTTGCATATAATTTGTAAATAATTAACAAGTTGTTAATTGACATCTCGGGGAAAAACGGCTGCAATATCAAACGGGAAGAATGCCAGTATCAAAATGTTCTCCCACGCACTGCATCCCACAGCACAATCAGCTCATGAGCTAATCGATACGATAAGCACCATGTTAAAACGTTGGGGGCTGAGTCATTGTTCACTATGAGAAATACTTTAACGTGATGTTCTGCCAAAATTATCAGAATTGCAAAATCAATTTTCTGCTCTGCTGGGATGTCCTATAGTTTAATACAGCTGAAACTTTACTGCCTGATCCCACTTGAATCTGGTTTTCCATTTCATCTGTTACTCATTGTCTGTTGGGGACGTGTTGAGTATCCAGGGTTATGAGTAATAGCAGGTTCTATTATTAAATAGAGCAAATACGAGAGGAAAACACAGGTGCTACTTTAAATAAACCCAAAAGCCTGAAGGCAAACTCATATTTTTTAGATAAATGTGAAGCTAGCTCAAGAGAATAGATGAATAGCACCATGAAAACTGCTGTGTCAAAAAAAAAAAAGTAGAGTATTATGGATATGAACTCACTTATATGTAGAGCGGGCTGTCAGCAGTATAACAAAACATGTCAAAAATAAATAGATAAACACACATAAATAAAAACAATAGAAATATATATCAAGATTGCAAATGCTTTGCAACATACAATATGTGATACAATATTGATACAATATGTATTTTTTTTTATTAGAACAAAACATTTCGTTTGACATGCACTGAATTTTTTGTTTCTGTTGTTCCTTCCAGCTAACCACAGTTGCCCAGTTGACCAGTTCAAGTGTCCCAATAACCACTGCATACCCAAAAGGTGGCTTTGTGATGGAGCCAATGACTGTGGAGATAACGAAGATGAGTCTAATAAAACATGCTCAGGTAGAACTCTACTCATGCACCAACATCGGGGTCACTTATTATAAAACGTATAAAACGTATTAATCCTCTATGTGTTATTTTATTATTCTTTCTTATTTCAGAGTCACATAACTGTAGAATCTTAAAGCGGACATTAATATCACTTAATTATTAATATTTAATCATTAACATCATATTATAAGTGGCATAACTGGGCAACCCACATACAAAATTCTTGTTTAAATTATTATAGTTTTTGCTACATTTTTCAGCCAGAACATTTTCTTGGCATTACTGAGTAATTACATGCATATTTTCATGTTTTAAGAGGCAAAAAATTAATTCTAAGATCATATATACTATTACAGTTTTTAAAAAAAATTGTTTTAAAACATGGATTTCAGTAGGAACTGTGAACATTGCCGTTTTCTTATGCCATTGAAAAGTGAGTGACAACATTTGTGACAACAATTGTAGAGTGATTCAACTTCTATTTTTGAAATGTTGGTTTATTATTTATCTCACTGATGTGTGTTTGAATTCGCAGTATCTGTCAGAGTCGAGCTACCTTCTCAGGTACTGTAATAGGGCAAGGAGCGTTGACTTGTTTTTTATGAGAGCTTGATAATCGATAAGTGCGTATGTGCAATGAAGTGAACTTTCTTGCTACGGATTGTCAGAATCACTTTTCCCCAACCTTCTTTTTACAAACTAGAGTAACACCTGGCCTGTTTCCAGGAGTTAACACTCTTTCACTAGTTTAAGTGTTGTAAGATCAATGGAAGGGAAGAACAGATGTGATAAATGCTGTCAACAGTCTGACATCCCTCTGATAAAGCTGACCCTCCAGCCGGAGACGGCTCAGGCCTTTGTTGACTTGGCAGAAGCTGTTAGAGCAAAGCGATGTGGAACACAAGTGATTATACTGAATCAGTGAGGAGCTGAAATTGACAGCAGATGTTAAAGCGATTTAATATTTCATGATTCAAGATGATCTGAAGCAGAGAATTGCTTGAATTGTCTGTAAAATAGTCTCTGGTGTATCAATGAAATTTTGATCAATTAGCTTGGAATTAAATGATTGCCGTTTGGTGGGACTAATTCCTGGAGTCACACGTCAGAGTAAACCGCCTTAAAGAAATTACCCTTAGACTTAAATTGATTACATCTTATATGTGTGTTAAAAGTATGGCCACTAGGATTAGGATTCAAAAACTGGTGATTTAAGGTGTACTCACACCAGGAAAGTCCGCTAGTTTACTTGCTTTTTTTTAGTTTGGTGTGGTTCTCTTTCACACTGCCCTTTTTGCAAGTGAACCAGAAATTGTAAACAAAACCACACGTGTGCTAAGGTCATCCATTCATTGGACAGAAATTCTCCAGCGTACCAGAGTTCGTTTGGAACCGAACCGAGACCACCTCTTTAGCTGGGTCTCAGTGCGGTTGTTTGGTCCGCATCCGAGTGAGATTGCTGTATTCACACCTGCCCAAAAGATCCGCACCAAGGGAGGAAACGAACTTGAGTTCGATTCAATTTAACTAAACAAGACAGGTGTGAATACACCCTTAATTGTGCATGAGTGTGTGTGTGTGTGTGTGTGTGTGTGTGCGTGTATATATTTAAATAGAACCAAAAACAAACCTCTATTGCATCTTTCATTTTTGATTTAACATCATCTCATAATTAGTGTTCTGCTCAGCAAACTTAGTCATGTAACAAAAGTTATGGCTGACGTGATTTATGTATTGTGACATATTTCAGAGTGAAACAGCTTTTAGAATGTGAAAAATTATAGGGCAGGAATTGACTTTATTCATCGATATACAGTAAATTTATAATTTCAAGCTGGGGCGGTGGTGACCGGGGTAGCTTGGTGAATGGGACCTGAAGAGCAGAAAACACACCTCTTATCTCCGTTTGTGACTCTGTGGGTTTTATATGATGGGTGGTTAGACTTTAGTCAGGGTAGACAGCATTTACAATTTTTTCGTGGATGAAATTGAGGCTGTGAGCAATAGACCTAGTCTTTACAGTGCCACACACTATATATATATATATATATATAAAAACCCATAACTCACAGCCAACTCACAACTGTTTTATTTTTGAATGCATTTTTAATTCATTTAAAGTAAGTAAATTCCATTATGTAAGGAATAATTGCTTTTGACCCATAAAAACTACTGCCGCAAATATGTTAGAAACATTCTTTTTCTTTGAAACTAGAAGCTGCCACCATGTTAAAAAAATAAAATAATAATAATAATAATAATAATTTCATTACAACAGCAAAAACTATTACTAAACGTTCTCTTACTGAAGGCAAGTAAACAGTAATATATTAATTACAAGCAAAATGATAAATAAGATTATTAATCAAAAATACAAATTAAATAGTTTTTCAGATAGGTCTATATAGTATAGGCTACTACAGAAATAGTAGTTAATATTTTAATAAGTTACTAAAATGATTCAGTTAAAAGCAGTTAGTGATTTTCTCATTTTCTTTTATTTGATTAACATTCACACAGTCAGCAGCAGCAAGTTTACGCTGCTGTCGCTTTAAGACCTGACGCATGGATCAAATATTTAGACACATCCATATTTCTCCCAACTGTTCAGGTTCACGTAAGACAAAACCAACTGCATTTACATGAATACTCTCCAAGACTCTCCAAAATTTTAACATAACTTTTTGTGCATTTGACTACTTAATTCGGCATTCACGCGCTGACCGAGAGGCGGTTTCTGTGAGCGCTCTTTGGGTGTGTGCAGCTTTCTTTTCTTTTCTTTTTTTTGGATCCGGCAGCTTTCACAATACTTACTCGCAACTTAAAATCACATGCAAATACTGAATGTCACTCTCGTGAAAATGCATCGGGTCAGTGACAGTTCCATCAACTGTCCCTGGACTCGGTTGGACTCAGAAATATTTTTCAAGTCCCAAAGGCTCGAGTCTGAGTCAAGTCAGAGTAAAAATGCATCCGAGTTTGTGACAAGTCTGAGTATGCTAAAAATTGTACTCGAGTCTGAGTATGAGTCTGAATATCCCAACTATACCAATTGGTATGAAACCAGTAAACAGCTGGCACATTTATTACACACAGGAATTAAATGAGCAAATACTAAAAGAACAACACAACAATGTCAATGAGGTAAGGACAATTCAATGTTGAGTCCAGGTTATTCAATAATGAGTCCAAAAAAAACCCCTTAAATAAAAAAATAACTAAATAAATAAATAATATTTTGTGTATTTGGTGTAATGAAATGTGTTTATGGGTGTGGCTGACTCTTAACTCTTATAAAGAATATATCTTTGGATTTGAGACTTTAGTCTTTGCAACTTTACAGACCTTCTTTATGCACCAAGAGCTTGTAACACTCCAAAGAGAAAGGAAAAATTGAAATCGCATCATATGACCCCTTTAATAAAGGAAGAAATTGTCCAAAAGTCCTCCTGGTTACTTTGTTATTCGTATGTGTAGTTTAAAATGAATGTAAAATGTTAAGACCTAATTTCTCTTTACTACCCGGGTAGTGTATGTGTAAGAAACAGCAGCTTAGCTGTAGTTGAAAAGAATCCTTCCAAAGAATCAGGTCTGGGTTGAACCTTGCAGTAGGCCCTTATCTTCAGCAAAGCACAGGGTCCGGCTCACCATTGTTCTCAATCACACAGTTGATCATTTCACACGATGGAATCAGGCAAAAAAACAAACAAAAAAACAATCGGAGCTCATCAATTGGAACTCCTCTCCAAACGATGAACATACTCCAACAATGATTTATATGTAAAAAAAATATACAACCTTGTGTCAAAAAGTCTTCTTTTACATAATCTACAAACACCTGTTTAAATGCAGCGCTGGATCACCATGTGATACACTTCGATTTTTTCACTTCGACTTTGCATTTGCTAATACTTATAGGGAAACCCCTTCCTCCAAATACTACTGAAGCATTATTGAATCACGCCAGTAACACTGGCCAATGGCATTCAAGCACACAAAATATGAGGGGCTTTTCTCTCTATATAAGGCAACATTTGGATGTCATCCATTCAGAAACTTTCCCTTCAGCCAACCTTCTGCAAGAAGCCTATCATCAAAGACTACTCACCGTGATCTACACGCTGCAGCGAACAACCTTCTCTTCCCCTGCTGTGTTCCGGTGAGCTTCAGACAAGGATGACCTCTTGTGATTGCCACTCCTGTGCAGAGCAAATCGAACCTTCTGATGGCCTCGAGTTGTGCGTCCTCTGCCTAGGTCGCGCCCACGTGGAGTCGGCGCTTGGGGGATCGGACTGCCCCCACTGTGGAGATATGAGCCTCCGGACTCTCAGGCTCCGTGTGCCCATCATCTAAGGCAGGGATCAATGTCTTGATTATAGAAAATCACAGGTAGGTGAGTTGGATCATGGTTGGAGCTAAACTCTGCAGCGCATTGGTGCGCTTCCAGTGCGCTTCACGACCGCTAAACTCCGCCCCTCCCCTGACGCGCAAGATGTGGTGTCCTTCGGCTCTATGGAGGGTGCTGAGGATGAGGATGATGCTATTTCGGTGGCAGCATCTGCAAAGGATGAGTGGTCCAACAGCCCACTGGCTTATACTGTGCCCCACTGCAGTGATGCAGGGGACCTCCATCATATTGATGTCGAGTTCCTACGCATCCTGTCCAAGGCAGTTGATGAGCTTGGTTTAGAGTGGGTGCCTCTTGCTGAGCCGGCCAAAAGCAGTCTGGACGAATGGTACTTCCAGTTGGACCACAGCCGAAAGGACACCCACCAAAGGCCCAGTCCCTTTTTCCCAGAAGTGCACAACGGAATATCAAAGTCGTGGAACACGCCATTCACCAGTCAAGTGCACAATCCGTGATCCTCCCACCTGTCTTCTGTGGATGGTGCTGACCAAGTGGGGTATGTTATACTCCACCGGATCTGATCCTCAGGGCAATTGTCATTTTTGTGTTTTGACCGTTCCACTATCCAGTGCAATAAAGCTCACCTCAATATCAGAGCAGTTTTCCTACTCTTACTCCCCTCACCCCCATTACTCACGCTTACACTCATGTGGCATTAAACTCCCTGCTCTCCCCAACAGTGAGCCCTCACAGTGTGCAGTCCGCCTCGACTTGCTGTCACAATTTACAAAAGCGTGGTAGGCACTGCCAGGGGTATCAGAGTGGGTTATGAAATCAATAAAGAATGCTATACTATTCAGTTCTTCCACAGACATCCCTGTTTCAACAGTGTGTTAATGTCTACTGAACAGAAGCAGAATGCCTCAGTTCTGCGAGAGGAAATACACAACCTTCTCGCAAAACGTGCTGTAGAGACAGAACCCCTTGCGGATACAGTGCGCAAGAGCGGCTTTTTTTCTGGTACGAGTGTTGTTATTTTCTGGTACCAAAGAAAGATGGCAGACTCTGCCCAATCTTGGATCTGAGACTAATGAATTGCGCGCTATCGAAGCGCTCGTTCAAAATTATTAGGCTGAGGCAAATCCTCTCACACATCAGACCGGGAGATTGGTTTATCTCTGTGGATTTAAAGGATGCTTATTTTCACATTCAGGTAGCCCCTCACCACAGGAGCTTCCTGAGATTTGCATTCGAGGGGATAGCGTATCAATTTACCGTCCTACCCTTTGAGTTATCTCTGGCCCCACATACATTCACGAAATGCATGGATGTGGCTCTCTCTCCTCTGAAGCTGAGTGGAATGCGCATCCTGAATTATCTCGACGATTGGCTGGTGTGACGAGAGGGGCGGGGCCGAGAGCCGTGACACCTGCGCCACTCACCGGTCTCGAGTCCCACGGAGGAGCTCCAGAAGGATAAAAGGAGGAGTGACGACAGTGTTGGACGAGAGAGGACCTAGGCTGCCGCTTTACCTTCATTTTGTGTTTGTTTATTTTATTAAAGTTTTGTTTAAATGTTCGCCGGTTCCCGCCTCCTTCTTCCCGTGACTATGAACTGTGTTACAGCTGGTTTTTGCCCAATCAGAGAGCACGCTGCTCAGCACGCTGCTCATCTTCAGGGCTTAGTGCTGACTGTTAATATGCAAAAGAGCATGCTGGCACCGAGCCAGATCATCTCCTTTTTAGGCTCTCAATATGTGAGCACGTCTATTGGAGGAGCGTGCACAAAAACTGATCAGCTCTCTTGCAGTCTTCAAGTTAGGGCACTCTCCCCAGCTGAAATGCTGTCAGAGGATGCTCGGCCAGATGGCTGCCGACTTAACAGTGTGCAAATTAGGGCTCCTGCATATGTGACCACTGCCACAGAGTGTGTGGCGTATGGGCACATTGCGCTTAAAAGTGGCGCGTGACCGCTTAAATGCGCTGACCCCTTGGCGCGATATGACTCTGTATCGCCAGGGTGTTCCTATTGGCCAGGTGATCAGGTGAAAGACTGTTAAGACATATGCATTAAGCACGGACTGGGGAGCCATATGCGATGTCAGACCTGCCTTCGGGACATGGTTGGAAATAGAGAAGTCGTGGCACTTAAACTGTCTGGAGCTCAGTGCTGTTCACCTAGCACTCGAGTGCTTTCTCCTAGACATTCTCCACCATTACGTTCTCATCAGGACAGACAACATGACAGTGGTAGCGTTTATAAATCACCAGGGGGGTGTGAGCTCACAGCCTCTGCTGCGGCTAGCGAAAGACCTTCTTCTGTGGGCATATCAACACCTCCTCTCCATTCAGGCAGTACCATGGGCTGATTGGTGCATTGGTGCATGTCCACGGACGCCTGAATCATGGCGCAGACTTACTATCGAGGGGTGGGGTGATCCACGGAGAGTGGAGATTACACCCTTTGACTCTCAATATGATTTGGAGTGTATTCGGCAGGACGTAGGTGGATCTCTTCACATCCATGGAGAACACTCACTGCCTGCTGTTTTATTCGCTGACACAATCTCCTCTGGGGGTGGATGCACTAGCTCACAGCTGGCCAAAAGCATGCAAGTATGCCTTTCCTCCAGTGAAACTTCTGCCTCGCGCGCTTTGCAGAATCAGAGAGGAACGAGAATCTGTTCTGTTAGTGGCACTGAAATGGCCCAAACAGCCGTGGTTCCTAGAACTGGTGGAGATGCTGGCAGCCCCTCCGTGGACTATCTGCTGAAGAGAGACCTCCTCTCTCAAGTATAGGGAATGATATGGCACCCCAACTCAGAGTCATGAAATCTTTATGTCTGGACGCTTGACGGAGATTGCCAGCAATAGATGTGCTTTTTCAGTTTGTGTTGAACACTATCTCTGAGGCCACAAGGCGTCTTTACACACATAAATGGAGAGTTTTCATTGGTGCAGGTCACTGGGCAGAGACCCATTTAACTGCCCAATACCAATAATTATTGCCTTCCTTCAAGAGCGCTTTGATATAACAGTGTTCCAAACACACATTGATAATCGCCCAGTCGGTAGAAATAACCGGGTCGTACAATTCTTAAAGGGAGCAAAAAGGCTGAACCCCCCTCTCCTTTCCACCCTACCCATCCACATTGAAAGTGTATGTGGCTGCTATAACAGCATTACACGCGCACGTCGATGATCACCCAGTCAATAGAAATTACCTTGTCGTACAATTCTTAAAGGGAGCAAGAAGGCTGAACCCCCCTCACCCTTCCACCCTACCCACCTGGGACTTGGCACTTGTGCTTGACATTCTCATGGGACCCCCGTTCAAGCCGTTTCAATCAGCGAGCTCTCTCAAGGCAGCGCTTCAACTCGTGCTGACCTCTGTTAAGCAAGTTGGGGAAAGTGCTTTCGACTCCATTTAAAGCGCAGGTCATAACACTATCTGCTTTCCGCCCCGAAACACTGGCAAGGGCGGAGACGCTTAATACACTCTTGCTGTGCCCTGTACGTGCGTTTATATTGAGCACTCTAGACAGTTCAGCCTCTCAGAGCAGCTCTTTGTATGCTTTGGAGAGTGCACAAAAGGCATGCCTGTGTCCAAGCAAAGACTGTCGCACTGGATCGTCTATACAATTGCTTTCCTACAGGGCAAACATGGTACTGCGCAAAACTTAAAAGCATAGTGCAAAACCCAAGGGGGTTACATATTTTTTGTTGTTCTGTTAATTGTTTTTTTTTTTGTATGTTTTGTTTGAAACAGCACAAGAACACTGGGTAGGAAGGGTAGCCCTTCTGTTCCTTTGTCATCAGTTCTTATGATAGTACGCGAAGAGTCTTTCCCCTTATACTTTAAATAATAAATTAAACAATCTAAATTATAGTAATGCATACATTTGATTTAAGAAAATATTCAGTTTGTTTTCATTATATAACTAAAAATTTTTTAATTTGAGTTCTGTTCTGTTAATGTTTGTTTAATTATTTGTGTTTTGTTTTGCTTTATTTCTCCAAGAATAATTTAATTGTATTATTCTGTTGAAACAATCCGTTCTCTAAACATTTCTTAAACATTTTTTTTCTTGCTCAAAATTGCCAAATAAATAAATAAATTGTTATGCAGAATCAGAATTTAAAAATAATATTAAATATTTAAAAAATTGCTATTCATATCTCAGGTGGCCACTGCTAAATACTCTAAATGTAATGAATAATCAGATTAACTTGTTCCCTAATGTTTATCATTTTGTCTTTAGCCCAGCCATGTCGGGCTGGTCAGTTCACCTGTGGTAACGGTCGCTGTGTACCAGATGCGTGGCGTTGTGATCAAGATGATGACTGTGGAGATATGTCAGACGAGTCCACTTCCTGTGGTGAGTCACTATCCTACCAGATAACTGGCTTGGCAAATTTGACTGTGGTGTAACTGGTGAATCTGTCAACATTGTCATCATTAACCTGCTTTTTTCCACCAGCACAGTGCCATTGCTTGTACCAAATCTGGCCCAATTACATTTGTTTCTATGACCAAACAAATTTAAAAGCAACTGAGAAAATAGGTGTATTACTGTAACAAAGACTGTAATGTGCCATGTTTGTGGACAAGTTACACTATAAAATAGTAAGTTTGTCTTTCAAATCAGCAAAAACACTTGCCAGTTCTAAGAGAGCATTGACTCTAAAGGTGTGTCTTTGCCCACTCTTACATTATTTCGCCACCAACATCTACACGTCAATGTTCAGGACCGAGTACAATGTTAACCAAGTACATTTCTCTAGCTCCCGAGTCTGTGCTTTTAGAAGCAGAAAGGAAAAGGAAATTAAACTTAGATGCAAGAGCTTTTAAGAGTGTGGCGGTAAAAGAAATCATACATTCTCTGATGTTAAAAGCTCACCCTAACCACATCCCAGACCCTGAAAGCAGACAAAAGGATATAACACAGGGCTTTGAGGAAATGAGCCAGGAAAGTTACAACTGTGAACTCCCACAATGAAATGGCTATTCAGAGCAGCACATAAATGCTGGGTAAGACAGGTAGCCCTTTGAAGAGGCTCAGCAATCTCAGTCAAAAAAAAATTCCTTTGTCATCAGTTCTTATGAAAGGAGGGAAATATTCTCTTCCCCTTTATACTTTAAAATAATGCAACTTAATGATAGTTATGTATAAATCTAGTTTTTGGAACTACTCAATTTATTTCACCCTTAAAAGTGATGGGTGTTTTTTTCTTCTTCTATTTTTTCAACTTTATTTTAAGCCAGATACAAAAAAAAAATCATGTTTTTATCTTTATGATAATGGGCTAATCTGGCTATCATTTTAAAATGCTAGACAGCTTATATATATATATATATATATATATACTGTATATATATAAGCTGTCCAGCATATCGTCATACAAATAGGTGCTTGTCCTGTTTTCTGTTGACTATGCACAAAAATCACCATTTGAGCATGTGATGCATTGTTTCCGTGGGGTCTCTGTACATTGATATATACATTAAAAGGTCTGTGTAAATGCATCTTTTCATGGTATATACAGTGGGTACGGAAAGTATTCAGACCCCCTTAAATTTTTCACTCTTTGTTATATTGCAGCCATTTGCTAAAATCATTTAAGTTAATTTTTTTCCTCATTAATGTACACACAGCACCCCACAGTGAAGCATGGTGGTGGCAGCATCATGCTGTGGGGGTGTTTTTCAGCTGCAGGGACAGGACGACTGGTTGCAATCGAGGGAAAGATGAATGCGGCCAAGTACAGGGATATCCTGGGCGAAAACCTTCTCCAGAGTGCTCAGGACCTCAGACTGGAACTAAGGTTTACCTTCCAACAAGACAATGACCCTAAGCACACAGCTAAAATAACGAAGGAGTGGCTTCACAACAACTCTGTGACTGTTCTTGAATGGCCCGGCCAGAGCCCTGACTTAAACCCAATTGAGCATCTCTGGAGAGACCTAAAAATGGCTGTCCACCAACGTTTACCATCCAACCTGATAGAACTGGAGAGGATCTGCAAGGAGGAATGGCAGAGGATCCCCAATTCCAGGTGTGAAAAACTTGTTGCATCAAAAAGACTCATGGCTGTATTAGATCAAATGGGTGCTTCTACTAAATACTGAGCATTTTTCAGTTTTTCTTTTTTAATAAATCTGCAAAGATGTCAACAATTCTGTGTTTTTCTGTCAATATGGGGTGCTGTGTGTACATTAATGAGGAAAAAAAAATAACTTAAATGATTTTAGCAAATGGCTGCAATATAACAAAGAGTGAAAAATTTAAGGGGGTCTGAATACTTTCCGTACCCACTGTATATAATACTTCTCCTTTGTGCCATTTTTACTCCCTCAAGCACAAAATTGGAATTCTGACTCTTCTGCCATTTCTCTATCACGCTATGCGCTAACAATGTAACTTTCTGGGATTCTGTCACCAAATGCTGCAAATTGCTTAAAGTGCCATTGTCTTGGTTACCTCTGCTGTGTCTTAGGCTGCCTTAGAGGGCATGCCTGACTTCACTTAATCGTAATCAAGCTGGGCTGAAAGACGTGGAGCTCCACTGCCTCCCGCAACTGCACTGCACACAACACACCTGAAACGTATTGGCACTCAGCTTGCTGTATGCTAATTACCATTTTCGAAGTACTCTCTGCTTTCAAAAAATATTTTGCCTACTTAGAATATTGCTTCAGCAGTATAGCTGTGGCAGTTTTGGTATTAACTATCACTGTCATAAAAATACTTGAATAGTTCATTAAAAAATAATTTACTCACCCTCATGTCATTCTGACTTTGTGTTTTATTTAAACTTAAAAAAAGTCTTAACTGCTATTTTCCAAGCATTGAAAGTGGATAGTTTATACTGCCACAAATCAAATTAGGATGTGTAAATGATGAAAAGTTTTTATTTTGGGATAAACTTCATTTACTATGGCTCTTCAGTATTGATATGCAAAAACAAAATGTAACAACTACATACTTTTTGGTAACACTTTAGTTTAGGGACCAATTCTCGCTATTATCTAGCTGCTTATTAGCATGCATATTACTAGCATATTGGCTGTTTTTTTAGCACTTATAAAGCACATCGTAATGCCTTATTCTGCATGACCATATTTTAGATCCCTTAATCCTACCCCATACCTAAACTTAACAACTACCTTACTAACTATTACTAAGTAGCAATATTGAATATTTGAATATTGTTATGATAATTATTATAATTATATCGTATTATTGATAAATGTATGTTTACGTAATAAACATGTATATAATAGTATTTATATGTGTATAATTTTTAAATATTACATTTTAAATATTACATACATTTTGAACCCATTTGTCTCAGTGTTGCTGTAGTTTCTGCACTTTTCTTTTGCAGGGCAGAGTAGTAATAATAACTGTTGATGGATTAATAGAATCATAGAATGAATAGATGTGATCATGTCTTGTCTAATAATTCAGTGTTTTGAAAATGGGACTATAATAATAATAAAAATAAAATAATAATATAGGAATTTCTGCTTCTGTTTTCATATTTGGACAGCAAATCTGGTGATCTTCAAAACATTTCCAGATAGGATTGTTTTATAATCTAAGAGATATGAACTTGAACTGCCACTGTCTACTGCACAGATTCATATAAGTGATTTTTTCCCTTCAAATCGAATTTCAGTGGGCGGAGTTATTACCCCTGCAGTCTCACTGCTAGTTGTTGAACCTGATGTATTGTGAAAACTGGATGTTGAAAGTAGTAATTGCCAAAGTCAGGGGACTGGAACACTCTGTTGTGAAATTTAGAAGTAGGATTTACTCCTGTCGACAATAACAGAAACATGTTATGGGAATAAATGTTCAAACACAACAATGTTTTCTTTTATTTGTTGACTCACCTGTAATCTTGATTTGTAACAGTCTTCTCCTAGATTAGCAACACTTTGAATGATGTGCTTTCCCCTGACTTCTAAGAGTTCGTATTTGTGTCGGCAAAGGTTTTATTTGTGAGGGAGAAAGTACAATTCCCTAAAAGTAATTTTCTTAGGGAAACCCATGGGATCTGTTATTTCTGAAATCTCACAAGCTCAGTTTACAGCTGTTGGTGTTTTGGAGATGTTACCCAGTGGAGCAAAATAGTTTTTAAAAAAAGCTAATGATGTCTATGCACATATTCAAGCAATTGTTGCTTAATTTCGCATTAATTTTGTTTTCAACCCAATTATTATAAATATGGCCATCTTTTGATGACTCTATAATTGTTCTGTAATGAAGGAGCATAAATATGCTTAATTTCAAATTGTCCAAAGCACACATTTTCATGCATTTTTTTTCTTTACTCTCCGCTCAACAATAAAAAAAAAAATGAAGAGAGAGAGGGAGTGAGGATTGTCTTGATTAAAACACATTCTTAGCATTTATATGTAAATGTATGAACTGTGATATATTCTATAACAAGAAGCTTGTTCATTCAATCCCTTCAAGCCATGAGTTATGAGTTATTAACCTTGTGCCCATTAAAACAGCACTTAAGCCTAAAATGCTCCAAGGGAACTATCCATGTTCATGGTGATGTTGTGTGAAAAAAAAAAATATTATCTGTGTGGACTGCTTGTATGATTTCCCATAATAATGCTTTTTTATCAGAAATTAGTTTCATGCCAGAGCATAGTCCACAATCAAGTACAACTAGAAGACCTGAGAATATTTAACATATGACTTGTTACCAAACAGAAGCATCAAAAAACATTCACAAAAAAACAAATGTATCATCACACACACTCATAATTACCTTTGATAACTTGAAAATGGTTTCATCTGTGGATATACGCATACTACCTGGTAGACTGTGTGGAGGTTTCTTGACTGAGCTGAGTGACACTTTAAAGAGAAACAGATGTTTTCCTCCACTGCGAGCCATGTCACTTTTCCTGTACGCATATGAGCACTGATGTATTCACGAAAAGGTTTAATGCAGTACAAGACAAGATACTTATGAGCTTGTGCGGATTGCATTCATCAAAATACTTGTAAATGCACCAGTGGTTTTTTCCATAAACTACTACAAAAAATAGTCAATTGAAGGCATCATGATCAACAGGTTAATAGCAAAACCTGCAGTAATTCATAATGTTGAAACAATAACCTTTTGATATCTTTAAATCAACGCTGTAGTAAAGCGCACAAACCGTGCTATCGCTGGTGTATTATTGCTTCCTGGCAAGCTCTTATTGCCTCTGACTGTTTTCCACTGCATCTGTGAGGTCTCGTTTTCTTTTTGTTTGTGATTTCTTTTCATTAACCTTAGCAAGAAAATAGCAATAATTCACTGTGACATTTCGCATGACCTTCAGGGTGTTTCGTTTTCCGCAATACTGGCAGTAAACCCCCGTGGTGTGAATTGTGTTTAAAAAAATGCTGTGAACTGCAAGAGAGTAGTTACCAATTCAAGTTCGTCCACAAACTTGCAAGGAACTATGACATTTCCTGAGGACAAAAGAGCCTCCAAATTTAATCTATTAGCATGACAGGGCAATCTGTGCCAGGACAAACTTCTTTAACAATTTTTCAAAGCTAAAAGCTAAATGAAAAATGGGTTCTCTTCTCCAGTGTATCAAAGAGACAGTGATGTATTGGACGGGGTTCAAGCATCAGGGTTTTTGTGGCAAACGTTTCTCACAGTCTTTCTTTCCGCTCACAGCGTTCCCTACCTGTGAAGCTCTCAGCCAGTTCAGCTGTGCTAATGGGAGGTGCATTAGCATGAAGTGGCATTGTGACTCAGGTGAGTGTATCCAGAAGTAAGAATATACTTTGCTTGCTCTTCCATATAGCACAATGATGTATTAGCCTATTTTCTCGGGAGCTGATAAAAGAAAGCCCGGCACTTTAATTCAATTAAGTCCATTGATCCTACTGTCCAGTCTTTTTTGTCGTGCAAGAAATTCATCACATTAATAACCATTAAATATTCACAGATTATTTTATCTGAAATATCTCCATTTCAGATCAAGGAGGGTGTAAAATAACGACCTCTATAATTTATTGCCAGCCCTCAAGGCCTGCAATACATTATTGCCTGCGTGCAATACTCGATCATCAACAACAATGAAACTTGATCTTTTTATATGTTTTTCTTATTTCTTTCTCTCAAATAAGAGCATTCACACAAGGCCAGCTTATGGAGACGGTTTTTCTTATCCAGGGTCAGGGCCTTCAGATACCTTGCTGATTTTTCAGAACAAAATTAGGCTTGGCGTAATTTGATGCCCTGAAGACTCTTGTTTGAAAAACTCCTGTGGTGCTGTCCTGTTTTATCATTTCAGTTCCTAGCATTGTGCAACAAAGCATGAGGCACAGCAGGGTTAAAGACCCCCTTAAGGATAATGTGCCATTTTCTGGTACCAAAGTGTTTGACGATCATAAAATCTATTTATTTTTATTGTATTTTTATGGAGCAACACGATTCGTGTGACAATACATGACAAAAAAAAGCCCTATCATATACACTGCTGTTCATAAGTTAAAGTAAGTCATTTTTTAAGATTTTAATACTATTATTCAACAAGGATGCATTTAATTGATCAAAAGTGACAAAGGCATTTACAAAGTTACAAAAGATGTCTATTTCAAATAAATACTGTTCTTTTGTCATTTCTTTTCACCAAAGAATCCTGGGAAAAACAGTGTGTCATGGTTTTCACAGAAAATTCAGTATTTATATTATTAAGAAATGTTTCTTGAGCAGAAAATCTGCATTTTAGAATTCTGAAGGATCGTGTGACACTGACGACTGGAGTAATGGCTGCCAAAATTCAGCTTTGCCATCACAGAAATAAACAACTTTCCAATAAAGATATTGGAATTGAAATATATTGAAATGTATTGAAAACAATTATTCTAAATTATAAATAAATCTTACTGACCTCAAAACTTTAACATTAATGTACTTATGTCTGCACCATATTGTCAAAAGTTCTGTATTGTAATGAATTAAGTTATTCTGATACTAATTCTGCATGACTGTACTGTGTTTGTGATTGTAGATGATGACTGTGGAGACAACAGTGACGAGGCGGGCTGCGTCCACTCCTGTGCTAATGGCCAGTATAAATGCACCAGCGGCAGGTGTATCCCAGACCACTGGGCCTGCGATGGGGACAACGACTGCGGGGACTTCAGTGATGAAAATGTGACTTGTGCTGGTGTTGCCCCTGGTAGGTCATCACATTTCTGTCTTTGCCCATCTTATGTTTTCTTTTTTCAGAATGTACTTTTAGGTCATTTTGACTCAGGGGGGACGATTCTTATGAAATCGACCTCCGTCTGTGCTATTATTTTTGGTTGGTATGTACAGTATTTATCAGGTGAATATTGGTGTTGTGCCTTCTGTGACCGGCATTTTTTAATTCAAAAATTGATCTGATTTAAAAAAATTAACATCTGCGTGCCATCTAGATTTGATTATGTTAGATTATATTTTAGTGCCGTTGTGCCAAATGCGGAGCCAGTAAATTCAATTCAATTCAAGTTTATTTGTATAGCGCTTTTCACGATACAAATCGTTGCAAAGCAGCTTTACAGAAAATTAAGTTTCTACAATATATTTAGTAGTAGCTTGTCAGTGGTGACTGTCAAATTGATGTACATATGGCAGAAATGTATGGTAAAATTCAGTTAATGACGTAATCAAACAGACGATGAACACTATTAACAGCAATGATTATATGTTGCAATCAAACTTGTAGTAAAATTTGGTAGTTTATGTTGTTTCGGGATTGGCATCATCTGAGGTCCTCTGAGGGGTTTGCATATTCTCTTCTCAGGTGTTCGGTCATCTCAGGGCTTTGTAAGGGCTGGATCCAGACTGAAGCTTGTGTAAATCCTAGTTACCACGGGATGTCAATCTCGTGGCAGAAACAGAGAGGCAAATTGAGACAAAATATATAACACCCAGATTTTTGACTGTAGAGGAAGTAACAGTACATCCGTCTAGTTGCAAATTGTAATCCAAGAGATTCTGTGTACTGCTTTTTGGTCCAATAAGTAATATCTCTGTCTTATCCGAATTCAATAGGAGAAAATGATTGGTCATCCAATCTTTTACATTTTTAACACACTCTGTTAGCTTAGATAATTTAGAAGTTTCATTTGGTCTTGTTGAGATATATAGTTGAGTATATATCAGCATAACAATGGAAACTAATTCCGTATTAAAATGTAGTTAGAATCTAACCAGAAATGCAAATAGTAATTTAACATATAAATAAATGATGTTAAAATGCAAATTAGGCATAAATGGTATTATAATATATAGCAAATGATTGGAGTGATATTACTGCCACAGACTGAAAATCATCTTGTACAGCATCTGTATGCAGTCGTTACTGTTACTTCAGAGTACTTGGGTACTTGTCCTTAGTTACATTGTATGGCAGATAAAAGCATCAGAGTAATCAAATAGCGTTTGGAGAGGTCAAATTTCCCTGTTACATTAATTAAAAACACATCTGTGTTCGTTTCTGTACACAAACAACTTAACCAACTTACCGAGTGGTTTCCAGAGAATCTGTTTAACACGACTAATTAACAGACTAACAAACAGCTGAAAGATAGCGATCAAGTCAGTGTTGCTTGTAATTGCCTTGGTGCAATGTCCCTAATTTGAGGAACACAAGTTTAAAACTTTTTTCTCTTTTTCTTCACTTGACAGATCTAATCTCATCTAAACTCACTAGGGAACCACCTTACAGATTTGAATCTTTTAATCTGCTGTAATTACCTCTGAAAGCTGAGGCCGAGTCCTCCGATGCTTTCAGCTCACCAGCTTGTGTTTCTGAAGCTTGGTTCTGACGCGACCGTCATAGTGACAACAGCCAATCACATTAGTCTTCTGGTGTTGCATGAACGCGATTGGCTAGCGTCTGCGCTAGGGTATTTGCATACGGTCATCTGATTGGCTGACGCCTGCGTCGGCGCTTGAAAAGTTTTCAACTTCTGCCGGGAGCAACGGACCCAACGCGACGCGACGGACCCACAATTCATTTCGCCAACGCTTGACGTCACTCCATTCAAAGTAAACGAGAAGCGTTGACGCTGACGCCCCGTGTGAATGGGGCGTATGGTAGTTGCCATACCCTAGCCCAGTCAGGTGTGCCGTGGAAAATTATCCAAACTTCATATCTCTATTATAATTCGTTATTATTATTTTAAATCAATGCTACTGGTCTTCCTTATGTCTGTTTGGGGGTTTTACAAATATTTATCCAATGAAAAGCATTTAAAAGAGCTTGTCACTAAAGCTTGTAACGCCATTCTCAAACTGTCAGCGAAACCTCATAACTTCACCCCGCCTCCATTCAGATTGACGCGCCACGCACAGCCTGGAGACAGATCTCCGCTTGTTCGCAATGTAAGGGTAAATAAATAACTGATGTTTGAAAAAGTACAGCGTTTTGTTTATTAAAACACTATGTCTATAAAGGTCCATGTTTTTGTGTGTTTGAAGAGAGGAGAAGAGTCTTAGCTTTTGAGTCTAGTTGTAGCCATATTTTGTACGTTTTAAATATCCTGTGCATATAGCGCTTCATCGTTTCATGATATTTTGGCCAAGTGTATTAAACGACAAGAAAAACTATAGCACCCATATAGCTACAATAAAAGTTATAACCTGTAAGTTGATGAAAGTGTTTAATGCGATGCACTTGCTGCCTCAGATACAGCCGCTCTAATGACAGACAAAACAGATCTCCGTCATTCGCTGGTCAAAAACCAACTCCATTTAATGTTAAGTGCAAGTGTCTGATAAAGCCACAATACCAACTCTGACGACGTTTAAACGTTATCCCTTTCTATATTTTTTCCTATATTTCAGTGCTTAGTGTTGTGCCGTTGGATTTTTTATTTATCAAAACTGTGACCCCCCGCACTCCGGCCACTGCCATACCCTATGGTTTTGTGAAGAGTTGTGTTTAAATGGACAAATTCACACAAAAATTATGTCTAAATGCCCGTCTTGGTAAGTATCCTATAGCAGACATAGCCGGCTGAACGTACTGTATCAGTGCATTCTCTTAAAGTGACAGCACTTTCTTAATATTAATCAAACAGCAACAACAAAGAAATTACTCACTGCTCTTGATTGAATAGCTTTTGTAACTTTAATAAAGATTAATCTTTTATGTATACAGTCAAATATGCAATGCTGTTTTACATTTCATTACTTTATTCAATTTCTGTACCTGAAAACTAATGTTAGACCTACCTAAAAAAAAAAAAAAAATCACTGTTTATTTTATTTGTATCTTTACTCTATTGTAATTATTTGTGCTGTTGCTTGTTGTTAGATAGATTATTCTCATTTTCTTTATTTTTATTTGACAGTATAGTTTTTGCCTAAACATAGCACATACCGAACCATACCGAAACTGTGACTCTAAAACTGTGATACAAACCGAACCGTGAGTAAGTTTAACCGTTCCACCCCTAGTCTGCACTGACCTTACATTTATTTCATGCACTGACCTACAGCTATTATTTTCTCCTTGTGTTCTATATAACATATATCAAAACTGTTAAATTCTGTGAAGCAGCGGGTGATATTTTATACCACAATGCCATCCTTGAGCTTTCAGTTATCTTTGCCTCTTGCAAATTGAGTCGGATGATAAATCCAGCATGTTTTTCGTTACATGGTGCAATCCTTTGCAATATCTCTGTATGTTAGGATTCATATTTATCCAGAACGGCTGAGATGAATGGTGTGAGCTGGAATGATTTGTACTTCACAGTGAGGTATATTTTGGTAGCAGTGTCATTGTTCCATATTCAGAGTTAGCTATGACATTAAACTAAAAAGGTGAGGTACGTAATTTCTGTGCCGCTAGCATTAACAAAGAATATTAAGACATCTAAAGGTTTCTCAAAGACACCTCAGTCTGCTGTTAGTTGGTCAAACTGACAGTCCAGCCCCTAATTTGCAGCTTTGGTTGAGCCAATGTTGCAGTGTTAGAATGGAGGCTGGAACAGAGTAAAGCTTTCCTAATGCCACAGAGAAACAATGTTTACACTTTTCAAGAAATAATGCTACAAATACTGTAGCTTACTTGCATTTTTTCCTGCATATTAAGCTGCAGTAGAAGAACGTATTGAATGTATTGGAAAAAATTACACATCTTACCTCTGCACAAAAAGGATAGGGGCCGTTCACGTGTCGCGCCTAAAAACGCATGGAAAACGCTAGGCGCGCCGCTTTCTGCTTTTTTCCAAAGCGTTCGGGCGCTTGCGCTCCGGAAGCGTCTGCCGTTGCTAAGCAACCATGACCTGCGCTCTCCATGAAGACGCGGAAGTTTCAGTAAAGGATAAACGGATTTGCAGCACTAAAAATCGCTTGCAGTAGCTCTACTACTAAAT